AAAAAAATTGGCTTACTGTAACTGAAGCAATCGTCGTGAACCCTATTATCAAACAGTCAACTTTGAGCCCATATATCTCATTTCCTGTAAAAGATATCACAAAGTCGTCAACTGACAAAATATTGTTGATAACATGATAAACATTTTGTCAGTTGACCACTTTCTGATATCTTTGATAAGAACCGAGAAAAATTGCCTCAAAGTTTGGAGTACCAGAACACACGTACCATGCCTTTGTTCAACCCAAATCTGAAAGTATCCCGGAGCGCACTTACTCTGTCCTTATTCAACCCTAACCTTCCTATTATGAGCCCTATTGTCCTAGGAGCGCGTTCTCAACATCTTTGAGCTCTTTCTCTTCCTTCCTCCGTTTTCCTGTTTCTATGACAATATTTCCTCTCCTTATGTTTCTCCCTGGGATGCTACTTCCATTTCTCTCTTCCAAAAATAAGAAAAATCAAAGCTACTAAAAATGAACTGCTCATTTCAACATATTGAGGTAAATTTAAGCTTTTATGGGTTTCAAAAATCCCCAAATTCATTTAAATATCTTAATTCAGATCTCTGTTTTCAATCTACAAACATTCTTTTGTTTAAAGAATGAATCCAGAAAAAGCCGTTTGTATCGTTCATTAGGATCACGGAATTCAGATTAGATTCTTTGAATTTGCGCCGAGATTGTAGAAAAAGGGAACAGGCAACTTTCTCTTTTGGTTATCCATACTTTATATCTGAATCCCAATTCATTTTATGTCAGTGGTAATGCTTACTAACCAGTCAAGATTTTCTAATATTTCTGAAATTATTGGAACAATGGGATCGTTTAAACTTGAGGTGTGTGTACCTTTTACAAAATATTTTGAAATAATATAAAGAAAACCTTGAAAGCTGGAAGAGTGATTGTTCAAACATCAATTTGAAATTTTTTAAATTGTCCGTTTATCCAAAATGTGTTTTTCATTTTTAGTGGATTAAAAACCTTGTCAGTGTAAACCAACTACATTAAACAATTTTTTTATATTACAAGATAATGTGGTGCATCTGGAACAGTAAAATTTAATTTTTTTTCAAGGTTCCCGCCCAACCTGGGAATTTTGAACCACTATAACTAAGCAGGGAAGTCGTTTCAGAAAGTGGTTGAGAATTTGCTAATTTTTTGACAGTGGTTAGTTTTCGCCCTTGTAAATCTCCTGTCAAATCTGTATATGCACTTTTTCCAAAAATGCTGAAAATTTTCGTCTGAAAGTTTCCGAATCCTTAACCATTGTTAACCTCACTTTCCTCCCTTGTTTCGCCTCCTGGGAACCTCCGGGGAACACCACTCACATGAACCCCCTCGCGCCCTGTTGGTAGTAGTGGTGTTATAATCTGGAGGTCTGGGGTTCAACTCCTTCGTTTTGAAATTACTTCTTGCTTTTTTTTTAAAATCAAACTTCTATGCACCTATTTCGGGCGTCAAATAAGTTTTTGACACTAGTTTTCGTGTTTCTGCCGAATAGTAATCTTTAAAAAGCAGAAATCACTAATTTTTTCGAAGTTAATTATTTCGAATTTTTCAAAGTTTTTGGTGGTCATGTGAAATTTCCGATTAAATCTTTTTTTTGCTCGAAGTTTCTCTATTTTTGTACAGAATGTATTTTTGTGAGTTCTTATTTGTTGAACATGGTTTTCTAGCCCTTGTTCGACTCAAAATCCGTCGAAAAACAGTGATTGAAATGGTCGAAAATCGAAAGTTGACAGTGAACCATAGTGATTTTGCATTGAAAAGCTAATAAAAAAATATTTTCAAAAAAAAACTCAGTTTTTCTGAACGAGAACATGCACTCTTTCGTTTACCCTTTCAGTTTTCGGCTGCGTATTTTATATGGTTTTTTTTTCAATATTTAGTCCACGAGTTCAAGTCCTCGAGGATCTTAAGTGTAAAGCAAAAAGTTATTTTTAGATATTCACCCATTACAATTTATATCACTGTTTCGAAGATACTGTTTATTTGACTAGAAACATACATTTTTATTCTTCTCAAGACACGAAAAAAGGTTTTTAAAAGTTTCCAATTTCAATTAAGAACCTAAAAACTGTAACTTTTGAAAACGTCAGGGAGACTCTCACTCCTAGTTGAATTCTCAATTTAGCTGTAAATCTAAAACTAGATTTTTATTGTTTTCAGCTTTTCGAGAATATCTGATTTCATAAGAATTGGGTTTCTCAAATTTTATAATGTTTCATACAATCTATATGAACGACATGAACCTTTTGTACTCATTAAAAATCCCTAGGAAAAAAAACGTTATTTATTTAATTCCTCCCAAAACTGAAAATCCTACGACTTCTCTAAAATTGTCGAAAAAACGGTTAATTTTCAGTTTTGGTGGGAATTCGATTGAAAATACGAGAACCTTCTATCAGTTACC